AAGAAAGAAAGAAAGAAAGAAAGAAAGAAAGAAAGAAAGAAAGAAAGAAAAAGAGAAAGAGAAAGAGAAAGAAAGAGAACGAGAAAGAGAGACAGAGAAAGAAAAAGAAACAGCCAGGCGTGGTGGTGCACGCCTGTAAGCCCTGCACTTGGGAGACTGAAGCAGGAGGATCCTTGCAGGTTTGAGGCCAGTCTGGGCTACAAACTGAGCTCAAGGCCAGCCTGAACTGCATAGTGAGATCCTGTCTCAAAAAAAAAAAAAAAAAAAATTGAGAAAAAGAAACAAAGAAAAAAAGAAAAACAAAAGGAGACAGAGGAAGAAGGAAGGAAGGAAGGATGGATCGCTTCTCAGCCTTTTGGCTAAGATCAAGTGTAGGAAGGAAGAAAGGTAAGTAGGGAAAGAGAGGAAAAAATGACCTTATCTCAAAAAAAAATTAAAAAGTTATCTAGCTAACAACTATTTACAATTTAGTTTTAAATAATGACTATTCTAAACAATTCTTAGGATTTCTTTAATAATACTATAGAATTATAAAGAAAATTATAAAATGGTAATATCTTGTCAGCACATATGTAGCTCTTTAAATCAGAAACTCAAATTAAGCAGGGCATAATCGTGCATGCCTGTAATCCCAGATTCAGGAGGCTGAGGCAAGAGTATCACTGTGAGTTCGAGGCCAGGCAAGGTTACCCAGTGAGTTCAAGGCCAGTCTGAACTACACAGCAAGATCCTGTCTCTAAAAAAAAAAAAAAAAATTTAAATTAACAGTTAGCCACTTGATTGCTGAAAGTTAAGCAAACAAGAGGTTGGTGTTTCACCTGGTATCATGAATTTACCTCCTTTTGTGTTAGAATATCTCAGTGTTATAAAATTGTTTTGTTTTTTTTTTTAAAAAAAGGTATAATGTGGATCCTAGCTCTAGCTATTATAGTAATTGAAAAATACAAAAGTAATAGAATATACCATTTTTCTTGTATGAAACAAACCTGTATTTTACTTCCTGCTAGAGATGAATTGTAAAATAGTGCTTCTAAAATCTTAATGTGTACATGAATCATCTGGGGATCTTTTAAAATATAGATTTTGATTCAGAAGATCTGAGTTAAAAAGAATGCATTTCTAGCAACTATCCTAGTGGTGTCAAATCCATTCAAGCACATTTTAAGTAGCAAGGTTCTAACGAAAAGGCATAATTTATAATAGATGCTCACTTTCTACAAAGTACTGGTCATGATGCTTCCAATAAAGTTCTAATTGATCACCTAACACTTCTCCATTTTCGCCTATTTGAACCCTCATATGGTATGTGACATTTTTGTGTATCATTCTTAAAATCCAGGGCACTTGTATACTGATCTTCTTTCTCCCTTTCTTTGTTGGTCTCTTTTGAAGTTCTTTATACTTACATGCAGATACTTCAGAGGAGTCCACCCTCAGCTTCATCTCTTTCCCATTCTAATGTTATTCCCAGATCGCCTATATGCTAACTGATCTAATTTCTGTATCTCCTCCTAGACATGTCTCCCAATCTCAGAGCCAATAGATTCAACAAAGAGCCATTTTAAACTATAAACCCAAAACTGTACCTCTATCTGAACTCAACAACACTGCCTTCTCACCCCACAGACACCAGCTTTTTCAACACTGTTCTACATTGGGGGTTATCCTCCCATTGTCTAAACCAAGTAAAACTATTCTCTTTCACCAACTCTAGTTAATCTGCATCTTCTAATTATTTCTCAAATTTCATTACTTTCTCTCCAGTGTCAATACCAGATTAGACATGGATTACTTCTGATCTGGTTGCAACAATTACCTTGCCACTCTTCTGGTTTCCAATCTCATTTTCTCCCTCAATGCCATCCTTCACAGTGTAATCACTGCAAAGAAGTAGCTGGAATTACAGGTAAGTGGCCAGAACTGAAGGTATACACTAACCTCCCTCACCCTCTTGACTGCCATTCTCATTCTCTCTCCCCAACACCATCACTTCATTTCAACTTCAACCATCCCTTAACAGTCATCATGCCCTCTTGCTATTTGCAGCTCCCTGAAAGTGCACATTTTCAATTGCCTCTTGTGTATTTGTATGTTATTATTCCCGCTGACTAAAAAGTCCTTACCAAGTTAAGCATTAATCTGCTTTCAAGATTCTACTCAAGGCCAAGGTATAGTTCAGTGGCACAAGCACCTGTTTGGCATGCACAAGGCCCTGAGTTCAGTTCCCGGTACCAAAAAAAGGTTCTACTAAAGCATCACATGCCTTAAAATGTCTTTTCTAATCCCCTCAATTCTGAATTAGCTAACACCATGAACTATCCTCTCCAAAATATGGTTTTCCTTATGCGCATCTCTACTCTAATACTTAACATGTATTATAATTGCTGGTTTACTCGTGTCCCCCACTAAAGTAAACTCATCAATTGGTCCTTTTAAGAACCAAGTGCCCATTACATAGTAGGTTCTCAATAAATTCCTAATAAACCACCCTGAAAGATAGTCATGGGTAACTTTATATTATAAACAACTTCTAGTAACTCTGTCTCTAAAGAAATGAATTTACTTGACAATTTACAGATTAGCAGATTTTTACAGTTCACAACACAGAGAATTTCAAAATACCCTAGGTATTTGTCAACAATCTGAGAATATTTGCTAAAAATATTAGAAGTAAAGCTTTTTGTACTTTGTTTTAAGCTGTTATACTTTAATTTCACTGTTCATGGTGTTAGACAAATAAAAATAACCTCTTCCACAATGGCCAAAATAAGGGAAAAACATGGTAAAATGGTGTGAACACTGTTCAGATGGCATAGGTTTCCATCCTGACTCTTCTATTTACTAGCTTTATGGCCCTAGATGAACTTACCCAAGCCTCAGGTTTTTTAATACACAACGGAGATTAAATTGTTCACCTATCCTCTGGTTATTTCAAATATTGAGATATAAATGTGAAAGTATTTCTATGAACCATGAAGTGGTAAACAAATCCAAACTATTACACTGGCTTTCATCCGACATCCACCAAACATTTTACAGGAACAAATGGAAATTAAAGTTTCATGGGCTAATTTCACCTCCTCTATTCACCCCATATTTCTCTCCAATGACTATTCATAAGTAAAATTAGGTTCCAGGACCACCTCAATATTCCTATTGAGATGGCTGATGTGCTTAATATCTAATTTAATTATAAGTGTTTAACATTAATTTAATAATTTCATATGTTCTTTAAAAGCGACTACAGGGGCTGGGGATTTAGCTCAGCAGCACAGCGCCTACCTGGCAAGCGCAAGGTCGGAGTTCGATTCCCGGTAACGGAAAAAAACCAAAACCAAAAAAAAAAAAAAGCGACTATAAATTTCAGAGTAAATCTCAAGGTAAGTTGTTGGTACAGTCATTTAAATTTCAGCTCCATTTTTAAAAATTGGAGGACAAAAATCAGCAGGGAACATTATTTCTAGTAATTTTTATTAACTATTCAGTTTGAGTACTGTCTGTTGACACATAAACTTGATCCATTCTACACTAATGTGATAGTTAAAAAGTCACCCTAACAAAACTAGGACGTTTTTCCCCCAAATGTCTGGCTTATGCCTTAGATATGCTTGCTGGTCTATCGATCAGAAGAGAAAATTTGCTGCATTTCTCTAAATTTAAAAAATGACAGAACATGTTAACTTGGCTCTCAGCAATATTTTTTCTTGTTAACTACGGATGAATGGGGATTATGGACAAGATTAGAACTGTTTTTAGTCTTTTCTGCAGGATTTATAAAAATAGGACTCCCTTAGCTTCAAAGGAAAAAACTCCTTTAAAAAAAGAAAATCTACGAAAGTCAGCACTTCGGTACCTGATTGCAGTAACAAGGCCAAAATCCAAGACGAAGCCCTTTAATGCACATCGTGTTCCAACGTCTTGGGCAGCCCCGTCTTGCGACCTCTCCAGATTGACTGCTCCTGCTCTCTCTACTGCAGAGAGAACTTCAATTAGAGAAATTCTGAAGCTCATAAATCTATACTGGATTCTCCCTTCACTGGAGGCAAGGATGGCAAGACTCACTAAAAATACTCAAGAGATTCAAATATATCTAAGTGGCTTAAAACCACAAGATAAGCAGCTGAGAGACTTAACAAACAGCAGTGCATTTATCCAAATTTTAAAAAAAAACTTAAAAGAATGGCAGCAAATTAGATATTCTGAAAAAAAAGTTTTAAGAATAGTGTCTAAAAAGTGAAATCACATCCACTAAACTTGAATTTATAATATAAACAGCAAAAAGTAGAGCTGACCATTCACATTCATAATCCTTACATGAAAAGCAAGCAAGAAAAAAGTAGGACGCATTATTAATGTCTTTTTAATGTCCTAAAATAACTTCATTGAAAAAAATGTTATGCTAACAACTGGTTTAGAAAGGCAACACTTCCCTGCTGACTTAAGCCTAACTGCCCAAGCAAGGCTTCAGAAAATGTCTTTACCTTCAACAGTGCATAGGCAGAAGGAGCAGAGGCTACGGCAGCCTTCCTAGTGACATTCCCAAGTTACATAAATGGAACATATTTCTGAGATAGACTGCCAACAAGTTACTGAAGAGGAGAAACAAAACCAGCAAAAGCCTGGCAAGTAACTATGCCAACATCCTCATGTGTTTTATTATGATATAAATCTAACTCTTAACCAAAGTTATTTCAAAGCTACCAAATCTAAACATCTTCCACACTAACATTACCTGATCTGTGAAAGACAATTCTTTTTCAACCTGTGTTCCAAAAAAACTCCTAATGATGCAGGACACTCATAAAGTATTTCTTCAACAAAAAGGCCCACTCTAAAGATCTCAGCAATTAAGATTTTACAACTGGACGAACAGACAATTTGCAGTGCCTTTATCATCGTGAATCTTTACCAAAATGTGCTGGTGTGCCATGCAACAGAAGGCGGTTAATGCTGTTGAGATAGTATATTTACTAAATAATGTAAGAATAATTTTACCTTACCTGAGTGTGAAAATTTGAAATGGTTGTTGTTTCAATATCTTTCTTGCCCAGAATTTCCATTTTCACTGGAGTGTTGGGGAAATTAAAAGCAAAGTAGTCCAAAAAGTCTGGGAGATAAGCAGCTGCTCCATGCACTATTGCTAAAGCATAGTAAGCAGCATTTTTCTCATTTTCACTGAATGTCAAAGCAAGAAACTCCTCAGAAAATCTCTCCATCTCCATTGGAGACAAAAATGAGAGTTCATCCATGTAAGCATGAAGGACAAGAGCACCACCATTGGACTGGTGTTCCTCGTGAATAAAGTTGCTAAATTTAGTACCTGTTTTTAAGAAATTTCTACGAATAGAATGTTCCTGGTGAGTCATAAAAGGTGTTTGTACTCCCTGGGGTACCCGATATTCTTGCATGCCCAAATTTAATCGGCACAGCTGTTCATCTTTCAGATACCTGAAGGATTCCTTATTAACTCCTGAAGTGCTATTTATTTGTCCTTGGTTGAGAATTTCCTTACTGATGCGGGTCAGGCCAGCACAGACGGTTTGTACTTCCTTATTGTACATTTTAAGGCGTCTTCCTCGCATGTCCTCTCGGTGTTTCTTTTTCTTTTTCTTCTTTATTTTCTTCAAGACAAAATCATCAGCTCTCTGGGTTTTACCATTTTCATCTGGTGTTTCTGGCCACAATAATTAAAAAGAAGTTAGTTGCTAGGACTAGTGTCAACATACAAGCTTAAGGTACTTGATCCCAAATTAAATAGCTACTTCTCAATTTCTCAGAATTTGCCATTACAACTATATTTTAGCAAATAATTGAGACAAAGACCTTAAAAAAGGGTAACATTCTGAGTTGAGGATTATGTTAAAAAGAAGATAATAAGGGGCTCAGAGTTTGGGTAAGTGGCAGACTGTATGCTTATCATGTACACGGCCCCATATTTGATCCCCAGCACCACCAAAAGACAACATAAAAAGCAGGTATTTACAAGGGTAGCAATATAATTTAATATGATTTACAATCTAAATTAACTTTATATGTGCCATATTGTATGGAACATTTGTTCAGTAACCCTGCTGCTGAGATAGTATATTTACTAAATAATTTAACAATAATTTTACCTTACCTGAGTGTAAACATTTGAAATGTTGTAAAATCTAAACTGAAGCAATGTCATATCTCACATTTTGATGTCAGTCTATAAATTATTATGGTACATGTAGGTAAATCAAACAAAGGCAAATTAAACCATAAGATACCTGTGGGAGGTTGTGGGTTTTGTTTGTTTTTCTGAGACAGGGTCTTGCACTATAGTTCAGGCTTGTCTTGAACTCACTGAGTAGCCCAGAATAGCTTTCAACTTGTGGCAATCCTCCTGCCTCAGCCTCCCAAATGCTGGGGTTACAGGTACATACCACCACACCCAGGTAAAATGCCATTTTGCCTGTCAAATTATCATAGTTTTTACCGTGAGAGTTTTTGTTTTGGGTCATGCTTAAGATGCTGTTGGAAGTATAAACTGATACAAGTTTCAAAGGGCAATTTGGTAACCTACTGAAAGTCTTGAAAATACTTATACACCTTAGACCTACTTCCAAGTCAAAGTTACCTAAGAAAATAATTTGAAGATCTACAAAACTATCTATGATAGAATTTAAAACAACAACAATGAATCCTCTAAATGTCTAACAACAGGTATTATTAAACAGACTGATTAAACTCTGGTAGTTACATACTAAAAATATTACCCAGCCATTATACATTATAGATGAAAAGAACTAACTTACATACAAATATTTTCACTCCTCTAGAAAGTCTATTCTAACAACTCTTCACCACCTAAGGGAGTATGTAGCAATAGTTACTACTGCCATGTGCTCCCTAACAACTGTACTCCATTATACCACTTAATCACACCCTGGGTTATTATATATTTAATGTAAAAGAAGTATATCTTATCTTTCCAGAGCATTTAACACATGTATCCACTTAACACATGTATAGGCTGACCCCTTTTTATATTACACATTTAATCATTTGAACATTTATTAAGTACCTACCATGTACCTTCTATATATACTTCTGGGCACTAGGGATATGGTGCTGACTAAGGCAGACACAATCCCCATTCTCTGTACCCTGACAATATAATTGGACAAGAAAAAGAAAGTACCAGGTAGTGGTAAGTACGCTGCTCTAAATGCCAAGGAAGTTCTTTATAAAGGTGACATTTAGACTGAATCCTAAATAGTAAGATGAGCCAGACATGTGAGAACTTGGGGAAAACAGAGAGAAGCAAAGCACTTAAAGAGAGAAAAAGGTCAGCTTGATCTATAGTATAGATAGATAGATAGACAGATACAGATATATCTCACAGAAAAATATCTGGAGGAATATATACCAAGATATTAATTGTAGTTTTCTGTAGGTAGTACAATTCTAAATGTCCCTTCTTTTCTGCCTAACTGTATTTTCTTATTTTCTATAATATACATATTACTTTTGTAATTTAAAAATTCTTAATTTTTAAAAGTATTATCATTGATTGACAAGCCAAAAATAAAATGGCCTCTTTTATTTACTAGTTGGAAGATATACCTAGTAAAAAAAATCTTTACGATTAAACCTCAGACATATACCTATCATCAAGCTTGGTCTAGCATTTACTGTATAGATTTTATCCATCAAATAACAGTATTCCTGACATAATTCAAGTAATTCAGTGTTTACACAGGTATTTCAATTAATCCAATTATTAGCTCTGTGAAGAATATGATCAATAAATTTTACAGTAAAGAATTTGGTATAATAGGGAAATACAGTACATAAGTATATTAAAAACACACTCCAAATTACCAAACACAGTAAATAATAAAAGTTTCTAAATATTTTAACATCAAATACTTTAAGGTATAAAGATGTCAAATAATTTTCATTGTATTTAGTATCTGCTTTTTAGAACAAAAAGAGCCAGGCGTGATGGTGCACTCAGCACTCGGGAGGCTGAACCAGGAGGATCACTGGGAGTTTGAGGCCAGCCTGGGCTATATAGTCACTTCAAGGCCACTTGAACTACATAGTGAGACCCTGTCTCAAAAAGAAAAACTTTTATTTGTAAATATTACTTATAATTAAACTGAGATCATATACCAAATATGCATGCAATCAGATTGCTTATGCTGATAAAAGAAAATGCAGTGTTTTATTCTATGTACAACTAAATCTTTGATAATTAGTGAATGCTCAATAAGTTATTTCTGTTTCTTACCAAATAAAATTAATATAAATACTTTGCCCAGTACCAAATCAATAATTCAGGCAATTCTTCCAAACAAATAAATGCCATTAAATACTAAGGTTAGACTGACTTAAAAATGGTCATCTAATTACCCTCTACTAAATGTTTTTGCAATTTCACAGGAAAAAGGGAGAGAAAATATATCTGAATAGATCTTGTTACTTTAAGCTTCAGAAGAGGTATGTGGTATGCAGATGATGAATTGTGACCTAGATCTGCCACTGACATTAACACCAAGAAGGAACTGCCTTGATTTTAACACATTTTCTACAATACTATCAGCATACCACTGGTATTTCTAACACGGCCAATTTATTCCAAAACTCATTTACATGAAAACTACTCAATTAGTCTACCACAGACCATTTAAAGAAAAAAAAAAAAGACTATACAAGGAAAAGAAAAGGATCCCAAATTGATTATAATCTCATATTCCACATGATGTTTCCATCTATCTCCATCCTCATTCTTGCTTTTCAAATGTTGACTTTTCAAGCTGAGAAAACTTGCATTTGTTTGTACAGAAACTTGGAACTATTCATTTTAAGATGAATTTCCATGTACAAACAAAATTTATTTATTCTTGAATTATGATGACAACTGAGAATGGCCTAAGTATCCAACAAGTTGTTGAAGGTTATTACATAAAACTGGTCATTATTGCTTCACGAGAAAGATACTAACTGCCTGGCCTTGAGTTTAAGATGCTATTTAAAAGTCAGTGTTTAAAAGCTTCACAATCTTAACATTCTTGCTAGAGTGTTTTAGTTTTCCAACAGGGAATGTATTCAGAAAGTCACATGTTAAAAAAAAAAAAAAAAAGGAAGTCACATGTTGAGTATTTCCTCATAGTGCAGAAACTAAACTTTACTGACATTAATTTGTTGTTGTTGCGGTCCTGGACATGGAAAGCAGGGCACTGCACATGCTACACAAGCTCTCCACCACTGAGTTACATTCCCACCCCAACATCAGTTCTTTACAGAAAAGTTCTTTACACAACACCTATGATAAGGAAAGCTTTCACTTACAAAGCTGTGAGATTCAAAATAGTGTGATTTAACAGAAAAAAACAGAAACACTGATTGGAAAAACAAATTGCTGGTTACCTGGAAAAAGATCATTGTAACTATCATAGATTAATAGATGACACTCTATCGGTAAAATACTCACATATGCTAATGTTTTCAACTACTACACAGCATGATGTATTTAATATCACACTATTGGGAAGTTTCCATTGCTACAAAAAATTAGTTCCCAAATTACCAAACTTAAATTCGTAACCTCATGCTTCTTTTCTTTTTGGTACTGAGGACTGAATTACAGAGCACTGAGCTACACTCCTAGTCTTTATTTCTTTTACTATGACACAAGCTCTCACTAAGCTATTCAGGCTGGCCTCAAATTTGCAATCCTCTTGCCCTACACTCTTGCACGCCTGGGATTACAGGCATGTGCCACCGTGCCCAGCTCTTAACACCATTCTTACATTTCAGCTACATTTTAGAAAAAAATGCGGTACCTTCAATGCCTAAAAATCATGGTACATAAGAAAAATAAAACAATAATAATCGTTAACATTTTAATAATCATAATAGAGACAGGGACTAAAGTTTTTTCTTCAAAATAAATTCTTTTTAGTCTTAAGAGTTCTCCCAGTTCTATGCAAAATCCTAAATAAAAAGGAAAAATGAAAAATCATTCCACCTTCAAATTTTGTGACTCAGCGTATGTTTTTAACACTGCTTAATCACCGCCACCCCTGATGTTTATGAGTGGATTGGCTAGGATTGAAATCCTTGTTCTATCACTTTATAGCAGTGTAACTTTTTAGATTAACAGCAAAATTGAGAGGAAGGTACAGAGATTTCCCATATACCCAAGTATCTACAAATACATAACCTCCCTATCAATACTCCCCCAATAGTGATACATAAATTGATACATCTTTACCACCAAGAGTTCAATAATCTATATTAGGGTTCACTCCTGGTGTTGTACATTCTGTATGTCTGGATAAATGTATAATGAAATGGATCCACCATTATAGTATCACAGAATAGTGATGCAGCCTGAAAAAATCTGTGATCTGAATATTCTTAAATCCCTGTGCCTTCATCACTAGCAACCTTCATCACTAGACCTTTTTATCATCTCCACAGTTTCGTGTTTTCCTTACTCCATATAATTGGAGTCATACAGTATTGTAGCCTTTTCAGACCGGCTTTTTTCACTTAGTAATATGTTTTTAAGGTTACTCTGTCTTTTCATGACTACATAGCTCTTTTTTTTTAGTACTATCTGGATATACTACAGTTTATCTATCTACTGAAGAACACATTGGCAACCTCCAAGTGTTAGCAATTGTAAATAAAGCT